ATATTTTTCATTTTAGGTTAAGTGGGCTTATGCCGTTCTCAGGAGACACAGACAAAGATACCTTAATAAAAGTTGCTAAAGCCGACTGGGACTTTGATGATGAGTGTTTTGATGATTTATCAGAAGAAGCTAAGGATTTTATAGAGGATTTGCTTCAAAAGGAWCCTAGGTTTGTAACAAATTCAACATCCGCTCATCAGCGTGTAGCGTCACCAACACTAATGACCAGACATTGTTTCTTCCTACTTGTCCCATTGGCACGTATTAGAAAAATTAGGCGTTCTCCGCCACGGGCCCATGGTCTCCCTGATGAATCCCTCCCCTTTAACCTTAAGGWTAAGTCTATGTTTTGCAGTAGCCTACCGGGTTTGAGGAGCGTTTAAAAACCGGGCTCTTGGTGCAAAAGGCCCTTTCCCCTACTATTCATACTTGACTGGCGTTACACCTGTAGATGAAATTCCTATGGACTTTCCTATCATTTTCCAGTTAAACTATATTGCTTGTTTGATGCCAATAGTCAACCATTTTAGCGAAGATAAGATGTTATCCGGGAATAAATGGATGGTGCGATTGAAACTATTCTATATATTAATCAACAGTGAGCGACTTACCATAGAAGAGTGTTTAGTCCACCCGTGGCTTACGGTAAGACAGCAAAATGATATTCCAATCTTTGGTTCTCACAATGCTGCTTGGTGCATGTKTCTTTTCATGCTTTTTGTTTCAATGTTGGAGGCCATAGTGAAAATTCAAAATAGCAATGATAATTTAGTCATAACAAAAGGATATTTCTCTCTCTTCGTGTAGAATCAACAAAAGGTGAATCACAAGATCGATACCGTAAAACACAAGTCTTTTYTAGCCAAGAGAAGATGGAAAGTAAGTCAGTGTTATGACTTATCATTTTTCTGATTGATTCACTAACTTGTCACAAGCCTTTTGCGCTTTGGGATCCTTGGAAAAAGAATAGAAACTTTATATTGCCTGCRTTCAGATTTCTCTAAGCCCTAGAAACCCAAAGAAAAATTAAGAAATACAAAATTGMCTAAGGGTCCGGGAACCATTTATAATCGTACCCATCCAGTTTATCTCTTTTTTATGGCGCGCAGTGCAACAGTCCTTTTGACCTTAGCCAAAAAGATAAGAGCAACGAGTGGGTACGAGTTTGATCTGATGCATCACTTATATAGACTACATTATGTGTTACTTCGAATGCTACTGATTGAGTTCCGATCTTTCATCAACAGAAATCGATCAACGCCCTTGTTGCCGTCCGTCGAATGTCATCTTTGTTTCCCGCATTAGCAAACAGAAGACCGTCTATTGATTCTGCTCTACTAGCCGAGAAGAAAGCGGAGAAAGCTGAAGATGAGGATCGAAAGAATTCAGTGCCGACTTTATCATCAGATAAAACAGACTGTCAAAGTGAGGATTTGAATACTGSCAGGAGACYGAGAAGTAACACTTTGAGCAGTCCAAACCAATTGTCAGCAAATAAGATCTTGATTGGAAATTCATTAGGAGTTTCTGGCAAGAGTAAACAAGCTAATAATCATAATGCAAACGATTCAAAGGAATGTCATGATGTAAACAGAGAACAGTCGCATTTGCCTCGATCTAATGAGCCTATAGTTCTTAAGATCAATACTAATGAACATCAAACAAACTTACCAGATTTCCATAATGGTAATCACAGGAATGCAAACAGCCTGGATCTTGCAGTTACACCGGCAAATACAAAGACAGAGAACTTAGGAATCACTCCTGGACAAAAACTTACTGTTCATTTGAATACTTCTACGACTGCGAACACCAGGGACAGCGGTGATTCTATTCCTTCAATTGTATTAAATGATGAAAACGATCCGCTGACACCAGAAGTTTTTGTAACCCCCGGCTCACCTCGAAGAATTTCTTCAGATAATTATTTTTTTACGCAAGAAACTACTGTGGATAGTTCAACGTATGTTTTGGACTCGTGGACCGACTCCACAGGCAAAACGGAAAAATTCAATAAGCCTGATTCTAAAGTGTGTATCCGAACTGTCGACCAAAAGGGACAAACAATTACTGTTAAACTGGATGGCTTTAGCTCAGTTGAATTACCTGTGAACAGCACAACTWGTACGCATGTCAGACGAGCATCAACAGGTTCAGAAGCTATTGAATTTTTTACTAACGTCGTTCAACAAAAAATGGGCTAAAGTTTCATACTWAAGCACATGCAAACCAGGGAATAATTAATCTGGATCAATTGATTGCTAAATTGGAAATAATTGCTTAAAGGCAATAAATATTGATATTCGGATATTGAGTGAAGAATACAAGCCGTCAAATCGGTGTAATAATGTAAACAAGGATCGTTGCCCTATCATTGGGTGATTTCAAAGTGAGGCAGAGTAAGAAATGATAGACATATAGATAATTTAAAATATCCTAAATGACATTATATATATGCCATAACGTCATTGTGAAAGAGGGCTATTCATACCGAAGTATGTATGCATCTGCCCCAATGTATTATCWACAAATGAAATTAAAGCAATGTAGATAGCGAAGGATAGCCTTGTAAATATGTTACAAGTTCCAGAGAAATATATGGGAAGAATTAAAATCCGGATACGTGTGCTTAAAAACCCTCCATAGCGAATGTAGTACGGGCATTTTTCACCACAGACATAATAGCTTCAAAGATTCAAATTGACTAGACTGGAAGTTAGACGCTACTAATCAATCAAATAGGTTATTTAACCAGGAGTGTATGCATTGTTAAACAAGGTAATGTGTATTCCTGGTTTTCCTTGTAATTGTTATTTTAATGCATGACTGTAGTTTTTTTATGCAACATGACACAGGCATTTTTTGTAATGTACGTCCGCAAAGAGGACATTCCAGTCAGATTTTATTTACTTTCTTTACAATTTCTATGCAGTCATTATCTATAAGTCCATTCGCCTATGATATCGACATTAATGATTGATGATGCTGAATGTCCTCTGCACATTACTTCAACTCTATAGATTGTCCTTGGTTGATTCGATATGGATTTACTTTCCAGTCTGTCAGTCACTAAGATGTGTTCTACAATACCAATAACCACGTTAACATCATCAAACCACAGCAATGGTGTGTCGAAATGTGTTGGTTCTTCAACGATCCCTCTCAAGACTTTTCGGGTTAATGATCTTGCCCATACTTTCTAAAGCTTACAGGCGCGTCTCCCTCGAGTTATCTGATGAAATGTGGTGGTTTTCTCGAGCTCTTAATATCTTTCTTCGCATGAATATAAGACTTGTCAAACAAACCAGGCAGATTGCAGTMAGTCCAATAAACAGCCAAGCATACAGAGAGGAACTTGGTTCTGAAAAAAGGAGATTTTTTATGATTAAATGTGCAGCACCGAAGACGTGTTATCACATTCAACAGGAGGATTATAGCTATTCTAAAGTCACATTTGCTGAGACAGAATAATAAAATGTTTTAGTATAAACATACTAACGGTCTATCACTCATACTGCGCCGTGATTGGCTACTCTACTTATGGTCTAATTTGTGATAGACCACTCGCGGGAAAATCAAAATGGCGGCATCTCATTAATAAATTATTTTAAGGATATTTCAATTTGTTTTCATTAGTTGACCGATTAGTATGTTTATACTAAAACAATTAGACCTCTCGGCCTCGTGGACTACGAGCTAATAGCCCATTCATTCCAGTGTTTTGGATTCATGCAGCCTGAATGATACTCTAACCTAATTGCCAGTGCATTTGTATTAGAATTGCATCATTTAATTGCAGGTCATTAAATAAATCAATGTTAAGATAATCCACTGATTGARTCAATCAAGGCCCTTAGGGGTTTCAGTCTGTTTTAGTTGTGAGGTTATAGTTGCAAGGTGGGCTTTTCCTTCATAAAYCACACTATGTAGTCCTGCTTCTCCGGCAATACTTTTGGGCAATAACGTTAAATCATTATGTTTAATCAAGATGTCAGTTCAGTTCTGTTCTATAGTTGGTGGTTGGTAGCATGTATATAATTCAGAAAAAGTTCAATACTTGTATTCCAAGACCGAAATGCATTGCTGTTTAATCTATTGCCGTTGCAAAGTGGTTTTCTTCGTGTCAAAGTGACCGACTAATGGAAAGTTTAGAATTATTATTTTTTAACGCAGCTAAGGTGGATTTTATAGCAGCAATGCATTGCAGTCTTCGATTGCACTTTGCCGAATACAGTATTCAACGTTTTTTGAAATTGTTTTATAGTTACCTAAACTACTAAATTCTGCGGTCTTGCCTTGTACGAGCTCTTCGACCAATATTGGACCCTGGGTAAAGTCGTAATCTTCATTATTCAGGCTTCGTCTTATTCTACTTTGTGCTGATGACTCACATCCACGTGCGCAGCGCGATGACGGGTCCGTCGAATTACAAACAACAAGTTTACAATGAATAAAAACAAACTTTTGAGATGCACCAACGAACTGAAACGAATYGAATGAGAACCGAGTCCTTGTTTGTTGTGAGTCGTAAAATTGCAATGTCGGATCTGATGGACACCTAAAACACGATAAAAAGAATTAAACAGAAAAACAAATGAAACTCAAGCGGATTTGGRACGATGATTAGTAGTATATCTATTTGAAATTTCGACATGATGATCATACTTGCAGGATATCAGAATGAAAATGTACAGAAACAAACAATATGATTACATCGTTGCTGTGATGGGGCTCGCCAGCACTAATCCGAAATTTACGCATTGATAAAAAGAGTAAAACATTCCAGAAGCAAATATCATTTTAGTAGTCCAATGGAAACTCGATGTGAGCGCTCTCAGAGCGTCTAATCTACATATACTTCGGATTCTAACTGTCGATGTGTGCAAAACCATACAAAGGAAAGAAACAATTATATACTTGCCCTTTTTGTATGACATTGTATGTGATTTTATCAAGAGGATTTTGATTTGGAGTTGCATAGCAATGTTCTGTCAWCACAGACAGACGATCATCAGGAGATTCAACTTTGACTTCAAGGAAGAGCGGTTGGTTTATCCCAAGGGTTAGTGGAAAGTCTTTTGCTTCAAACTCTTCWCTGTATGAATTGTCTTTATAGAKATTCATGGARAGGACGAAGTTGGTRGACGAGTTGGAACCTGACAGYACTTTGGATACCTGGAAGACGTAACGCAAATGTATATCGGACTGCTCMCATTCACGACTTCTATTCATTTTCCTTTGRCGTCGMAACAACAAATATTCATGTTAACCTCTCCAAGCAGGGGTGTATTCAGAATTTKTCATTACAAACCAAACTTCCACTCATGACGTCACATTACGTCACGAGCCTCATTGCGATATACTTTTTTATAAGAATTATTGAGAAGCGAAGAAACAAATTTTCTTAATACTTCTTTTATACACATAAAATATTGTTATATACCTAACTGTTACTTAAAAGTACTTACTAGTCTAGGAAGAATTCCAAGAGTCGATGCAATTCCTTCAGTAGCATAGTAACAGCTAAAAGGTATATTGACCTTATTTATCCGCGTAACCATTCCTACTGSGTCTGTCTGAGTAACGGCATTACTGTAGATGACTGCTTTGTTCGTATGTCTAACAGTGGTRCCACAGCCAATCAGAGGCGCTGTTATTAACACGTGACTCTCGTTTGATTTAGGTTTACATTTGGGATCGAGTAGCCTAAGGAACTTGATGTCAATAGTTCCAAATATTTTTCTTTTTAACACAAGYTGCATTTGGTTTTTTGAACATTCGACGGAAGTATCGCTTGAGTCTGTGAACGATGGCGGATCGTTGACTAGAATGAAGAAGAAGAATCTTACACAACTCTTGCTTGATTGAAAAATATAATTACAATGTACATAGAGTTCTACAACATTCCTTCTCCAATTTTTGACATGAGGCACTCTAAAAACCCCAATCAACATTCTGGGAATTGAGTTTTTAAAAATGCCCTCTCTAGATGGACACTTTATTAGGAACTTTGTCTTCGAAGGTTTTGGGTTTCCTGTTCTGATAATCTAGATGTCCTGGGGAAGAGGTGCTTATKAGAATTGGAAAGCAAGCGACCATAAGTCCCTAACATCGAAGAATTCTTTATACGGTATACTGTACTGATACTGTACTGATCAAGTGTTATTATATGAATAATCGATACCCAACTCAAGGTCATTGTTCATTCCTCCCAATTCAATAGGCGATTTGCACGCCCGGGGGGGGGACTCCCTAATATCAAAGGGCGGGGATCCTCGGCGTCCCTTT